TCCCTCATACACTGACAACGACCCTCCCTCACACACTGACAACGACCCTCCCTCAGACACTGACAAGATCCTCCCTCACACACTGACAATGACCCTCCCTCACACACTGACAAGATCCTCCCTCACACACTGACAACGACCCTCCCCTCACACACTAACAACGACCCTCCCTCACACACTGACAAGATCCTCCCTCACACACTGACAACGACCTTCCCTCACACACTGAGAAAATGCTCCCTCACACACTGACAACGACCTTCCCTCACACACTGAAAAGACCCTCCCTCACACACTGACAACGACCCTCCCTCACACATTGACAACGACCTTCCCTCACAATCTGACGATGACTTTTCCCTATCCCTAACGACGACTCTCCCTCAAATCCTGATTACGACCCTCTCTCACACCCTAATGATCTATCAAACACTGACGACCCCTCACACCCTGACTACGACCCTTCCTTACACCCTGACCATGATTCTCCCTCATAACCTGATGACGACCCTCCCTTTCATCCTGATGACTACCCTCTCTCACACTCTGGCAACCCCTCACAAGTGCACCGGATATTTAGAAGACGTTTTTTATCTGTCTCGTAAATCTCAGCTGTACACGACATGTATCACCTGTTACGGAATATACAACACCGTTCTGGTGTCAACATTTGATAAAAATTCATCTGTGATAGAAGATAGTTCAGAAGTTCACAAAACTTCAGAGTTTCTTAACTTGATTATATGGGAAACTGAGGGATTTGAACTGCGAGCGGAGGATTAAAGCTGAACCGAGCCTAACAATATAAGAGAAAAGAAGGGTCAAAGAAGACATGAAAATAATGCATAATTATTGCTGAGAATCTGACCGAACAGATAGGGAAAAACAGATTAAAGCCGATCGTGCATTCAGGAAAGATAAATACGCAGGTGTCTCATGGGAAACATTTCTTCAGTTTCAGAATGGTAAGAAAGCCGGATGAGGACAAGTGAAAGAAATTTTATACATAGTTTCAATAGAAAGTGCAATTGGGCCTAAGATGCCAAGAGCCAAGTCTCGACCCCGTTCCCCCCCCCAAACACGAAGTGAATACACATTCCACAGACACATACACACACACACACACACACACACACACACACACACACACACACACACACACACACACACACACACACACGGTATCGTTCAGGACCCTGTACACCGTGTACGTTAGGCTCATATTGGAGTATGCGTTTGGAACCCACACCTAGCCAAGCACGTAAAGAAACTAGAGAAAGTGCAAAGGTTTGCAACAAGACTAGTCCCAGAGCTAAGGGGTATGTCCTACGAGGAGATGTTCAGGGAAATCAACCTGGCGACACTGGAGGGCGGGAGAGATAACGACTTACAAAATACTGAGAGGAATTGACAAGGTGGACAAAGACAGGATGTTCCAGAAATGGGACACAGCAACAAGGGGACACAGTTGGAAGTTGAAGACACAGATGAATCACAGGGATGTTAGGAAGTATTTCTTCAGCCACAGAGTAGTCAGTAAGTGGAATAGTTTGGGAAGCGATGTAGTGGAGGCAGGATCCATACATAGCTTTAGGCAGAGGTATGATAAAGCTCACGGTTCAGGGAGAGTGACCTTGTAGCGACCCGTGAAGAGGTGGGGCCAGGAGCTTGGACTCGACCCCTGCAACCTCAACTAGGTGAGTACATACAACACACACACACACACACACACACACACACACACACACACACACACAGCAGTCATCCAGGAAATGTTAAAGAAGCAGCAAAGACGATGTTTAAATTGGACCTGAGATACCTAGGATATGCAGTAAGATAACGACAGGAAGAGGTTAATCTTTATTCATGGGCTTCAGGAGGGCAAAGGAACGACATATGAAGCAGACAGGAGGAGGGAGAAGAGATTGAAAATAAAATAAAAAAAACAGGAGAGGACACTACTGAGCTGACAAATTTTCAAAGAATAGAGGGATACTCAAGGGGGACCTCCCATCACAAACTTTACCTTCACAGCAACCTCCCATAGTATCCTCCTATGTCTCTTGCTCCCCCAGCCCCCACGAACTCCCTGGAATGCAGTACTAGAGTAGAAACTGAAGAAAAGGTACACCAATGCAGATGGAAAAAAACAAATAAATGTGAGGAGTGACACGAAAGAATCATGGAGGCAACCCCAGACATCATAGTGCTTATGGAAACAAAAGCTCACAGGATAATAACAGATGCAATCTTTCCATCCGGATATCAGATCCAGAGGAAAAATAGAAGGAACAGAGAAGAAGGAGGAGTTGCACTGCTCATCAAAAACCAGTGAAATATTGAGGAGTTGGAAGGAATGGAAACAAGGGAAACAAGGGACTACATAGTAGGAACACTTCAGACTGGGAGCCCCAAGGTAGTGATTGCAATGATGTACAAACTGCCACAGAACAGCAGGAGGCCAGAACAAGAGTATGATGAGAGCAACAGAGCAATGGCTGAAACACTAGCTGAGGTGACCAGAAGGACCCATATGGATAGGACAAAGTTACTAGTTGTTGGCGATTTCAGTCACATGGAGATTGACTGGGAAAACCTAGAGCCACATGTGGGATCAAAAACATGAAGGGCTAAGATGGTGGAGGCAGTACTGGAAAACCTCATGCACCAAATGTTAGGGACACTACCAGACAGAGAGAGGAGGGGATAAACCAGCAAGATTAAACTTCATATTCACATCGAGTAGTTCAGACATTGAGGATATTACATACAAAAGACTCCTAAGAGCCTTTTGTATGTAACTTTGACTACGTTGAAGAATTAACAGTGGAAAGTGAAGCAGCACAAGATGGATGAGAGAAGCCAAACTACTAAAGACGGGACTACACAGGCATGAGGCAATTCCTGCACGAGGTGAAGTAGGGAAGAGAATTGGAGTTAAAGACAGTAAGTGAAATTATGTATCACATGACACAAAGTGCAGCAAAAACAATGGGAAGACCAGAACGACCCCTTGGTTCACCCGAAGGTGTAGAGTGGCTAAAGCTAGGTGCACTAGAGCATGGAAAAAGTGTAGACAAAGGACCCAAGAAAATAAGCAGACAAGTCGAAGATCCAGAAACTCATATGCCAGATTCGACCCAAAGCTGCTGTACAGCCCCATCACGAGGAAAAGATCAGTCAAGGACCAGGTTATCAGGCTGAGGAAGGAAGGAGAGAAGACCACAAGAAACAACCAAGAAGTATGTGAGTATCTCAACATGAAATTTAGGGAGGTATTTTCAATGTAGACAGAAAGATTTCCAGCAATCCGGGATGGCAGGGTACACCAACAAGAGCTGGACATACTACACACAAGCGAAGAGGTGAAGAGATTGCTTAGCAAACTAGATACCTCAAAGGCGGAGGGACCGGACTTCTCTCAATGGGTCCAGAGTGAGCAGAGGCACTGTGTGTGTCACTAATATCAATCTTCAACACATCTATCGTAGAAGGGCAACTACCAGTGTTGAAGACAGCAAATGTAGTCCCAATTTTCAAGGAAGAAGACAGACAGGCAGCATTAAACTACAGACCAGTGTCACTGACGTGTATAATATGCACAGTCATGGAGAAGATTTTCAGGAGACTGCTGGAGCACCTAGAAAGGAATGAGATTAAACTCGATATCCAGCACTGTTTTAGGGAAGGGAAAACCTGTGTCACAAACCTACTGGAGTTTTACGACAAGGTAATTAGTAAGACAGAAGAGATGGGGGGGGATAAACTGCATTTTCTTGGACTGTTAGAAGGCTTTCGACCCAGTTCTTCGCAAGAGATAGGTGCTAAAGCTAGAGGAGCAGACAGGAATAACAAGAAAGGCACTGCAATTGATCAGGGAATACCTGACAAGAAGGAAACAACGAGTGATGGTATGTGACGAGGTGTCAGAATGGGCGCATGTGACGAGCGAGGATCCACAAGGGTCAGTCCTATGGCCGGTGCTGTTTCTGATATATGTGAATGACATGATGGAAAGAACAGATACGGAGGTGTCCCTGTTTGCAGACAATGGGAAGCTAATGAGGAGAATTCAAGCGAACGAGTATCAGGTAGGACTACAAAGTTATGAAAACTGGGGAAAGTTAAGACATCAACCAAATAACTGCTGCAGCACATGGGCTCCTTGCAAACCTAAGAATAGCTTTTCGACGCCTGAGTAAGAAGTCATTCGATACACTGTACACTGTGTACGTCAGGCCAATGTTGGAGTAGGAATCACCAACTGGAAGTTGAAAACTCAGACGAGTCGCAGGGATGTTAGAAATTGTTTCTTCAGTCATAGAGTTGTCATAAAGTGGAACAATCTGGAGAGTGATGTAATGGAGGCAGAATCCATACATAACTTTAACAAGAGATTCGATAAAAATCATAGAGCAGGGAGAGTGGACCTAGTAATGACCAGTGATAGGGCGGGGCCAGGAGCTGCGACTCGACCCCTACAACCAGAAATAGGTGAGCAAATAGGTGAGCACACACACACACACACGTTTTTCCTTTTATGGATTTAAAATAAAAATAACAGAATTAAACTACTCCATTGACAGGAGACATACACTGAGAGGTGTGTATATGTCTTGGTGTATAAACATAGTTCACTTTAATTCCATTTTTATGGATCAAAGTTTTCTTGACTGGTGGTGAACAAGTTACATGTAGCTTTAATGATCCGTATGTTGTCGACACGCTTTAAAGCTATTTAACCAATTAACCATTCCATTCATAGGAAAGACGAAGGAGGGTTTATGAGCTGCACCTTAATTCCTCTGGCTCTGCAAACTCGGCTTAGTAAATTTACTCTACGCACATTTTAGGTAGTTGGAAAGGAAAAAGGTTAAGTATTGAGCAGGAGGGTAGAAGGGCTGACAGAAGGGGGTAGGTGGGATGCACTTAGTGGGTAGGATGGTGGTGTTGTGATGACAAAGACTGAATAATATTACACTCATCGTTACTCTCCTGTGCAGACTTCACCTCAGCCCAGCTTGCAGTGGCCCCCACACACGCACCTCAAAGCTTCAACATAATAAGCTCGTGGTTTCTTGAAACGTAAAACGTTTTGATCAGTTCGTGCGTGGGGAAATTTTGTATTTTATCTCTGGCGTTAAAGGTGTGATAAATCATCCCTCGTTACTAGCGACGTTGTTTACTTTCACCACTGACTCTGCTTAACTTGCAGTAGTTGGGAAAGACTCCATCTTGGTGAAATATCCAATATGCTTAATATCATCCAGAATCCGGTAAGTTAGACGATCTTATCATTTTTATTTTATTATTATACACAGTTAAATAATGTACAGATGATGTCATGTGCTTTCGTTCCAGCGTTTACTTTTTTATTTAGTGTATTAACGTGTATTTGCACGCATGAATTTTTTTCGTTTACGTTTATTATCTTATGTGTGTTCATGTTCATTAGTTTTCTTGCGTGTACGGACATTTCTTAGAAAAAACCACTGTTCGGGTGGGGTTAGAACTTATGGCAAGTGAGTCGTAAAGCTTAGAATAAATTACCGTACATCTACTCAACTAATCTGATTACGAATGTGTCCGCGCGCTTGCAAGTATTAATACATTTAACAAGGAAAAGTATTTAGCGTAAATTTCCTCTTTTTGACTCTCTCCATAAATGATTAAGAGCATCTTAAAAACTGTGTTGCAGCATACATGGTTGTGTCCTTGACTCAAGGTCACAGTTTGTGGCTGTACAACATACAGAACACTTGACACTCTTCACCACTGATGTACAGCTGCTGAGATTGATGTTTATTTCTATTCAACAATTATATACTAACCCCATTTTCTTCAAGTATATGGGGAGGTTATTGTGGGGAGGAATATATGTGCCGTCAGACTGGGCATCAATGTATTTTTATATAATTTACTCCAAAGAATACATGAGGAACAGCAGTATATACATTTTTATAGGAATATTTCTCATATTAATTTAGTAAGACTTTCTAAAGTTACACCTAACCTTGAGACTCAATGTCTCCGAAATTAGAAACTATCTTTGGAGGCGCATATTGCAGCAAAGAGAAAGCATCGCAGGCAAGTCAACAGTATTTAAACTCCAGTTATTGTCAGACAGATAAGCAGAAATATTACCCTCTTCACAATTTCATTGGTAATATTTCCTATGGGTGTTTATTATGTCTCACCAGAAAAATGGCGATTACCAAGAGCCTGACTGATCATAGGCCGGATCTCGGCAAAATCAAGTTTATTCTCTATAAGGATTACAATGCAGGGTTTACAGATTTTGAATATTGTGTGGTTTACATGTTTTAAAATACTAATTACAGAGGGGGCCACTAGGACACCTAGCATGGCTAGGCATTTCGGGCAGACTTAGATTAATTCTAAACTTTAAATTATTACAGATTATGGTATTAAAACTTGCACATAATGACACATATGGGTTCAGAGGTACATAAAATACAACCAGACAAACTATATGAACTTGACCCTCTTTGAAAAGCAATACTTTCTTTTTCTGTTGACTTTAATATCCACACGCTGAACTGTGAGTGAATATCTGAGAGTCTGAGGTATATAAAAATGTATTAAAATTTCATAACTTGAAAAGCTGCTCCCTAATTTTAATTTGAAGCTATTCATAACATGATCTTACTGTAGTGTCGGTGAACTGGTGTAGTATGGTGTATCTCTGCCCAGACTTGTTTATGAAGGCTTAAACTACTGGCCATTATAAGTGGTAAATGGGAAACTGCATTACCTAATGTCAACACGAGCTGCGTTTATTAAGATACTTAACTGTTGAAAGTTTGAGATAAATAAACCAAGGCAATCTAAGGTTACGGAAGCCTTATGGATTATACAAAAATAAAAAAAAATACGTATGAACGTCTGAAGAAGCACTTGCAATCTTTTTACAAGAATATATATTTTTTAAATCGTCTGACAGTTCCACACGAGGCTTTGCTGGAGAGACAAGTTTTTAGTTTTAATTGTGAAAGGTTCATAGATGTACAGCTTTATAGCTGCTCTTCACTGAAACATATCCACTGCTCATGACTCCTGATCTATAAGATCAGGAGTCATGAGCAGTGGACGGTGTCCATTTCAGCACAGTGTCTTTATTAAAATCCTTCTTAGGTCTCTCTAACTCTTTGGTTAATGTTCTGCAACGTATTTCGACAGCCCTTTGTGTTGGCGTGGGTGACGGGGGATGCCTCCGCAGCTAAGGACGCCCTTTCTAAGTTCACCTGGAGGTCCCCCATCGTAGTGGTTAAAGTTGTTGACAGTGTCCTAAGGGGCGTGGCACAGGTCAGTCTTTTATAGTTCAGCAGTTGGAGGTTGAAATATACAAACAACCAGTCATCCTTGTTCTTACCTTCATGTGGATTGTTTCTCCTTTGACCAGTGTTTATTACACACACACACATTGTGTGTGTGTGTTAATTATATTATTGGTTGTGTGAAGATATCATTTGTCTTTGTGCGAGTGCATATTGCATGCGCATTCTTTGGAAAGTATGTATATTACAGCACCTACTTTGACTTTTCTCCAGCAAGGTTACATACACAGAGAGGTGATATATCTGTGTATATTAGCTAGGCACAGATGACGTGCAGCCGACAGGATTTGAACCTAATAATTCATCTAACTTTTCCAACATTTTTTTATCTGATGATTTATTAAATATTCCATGTTGACTTGCCATCCCTCAGGTAGTGTTCGTAAACAATCCTTTATCAGGCTCGCTCATTCTGCTGGGTCTTTTCCTGAGTGACTTCAGGTGCGGATCAGGTGCACTCTTGTGCTCCCTCAGTGCCATCACTGTTGCTAAGGTCAGTCAATCTTACTTCATGCTGTCACTCTCCCTTTGTATTAACACAAACTTATAATATATTATATATATATATATATATATATATATATATATATTATATATATATATATATATATATATATATATATATATATACATATATATATATATATATATATATATATATATATATATATATATATATATATATGTATATATATATATATATATATATATATATATATATATATATATATATATATATATATATATATATATATATATATATATATATATATATATATATATATATATATGCAAAACAACCACTCTGAAAGAATAGAGAAATTCCAAGCGCTTTCGTGACTACTCACATTATCAAGGAACTATGAAAGTAAAGCATCCAAGGAAGCTATATAAGGGGTCTGGCCGGCACCTCACTATCAGATCCCACAACGGTTTAAACACCTGACGCGCGCCGACCCAACTTGGATAGGTCCTTGGCACAACTCACCCCACAAACTATTCTACCCAAGAAATAAGAAATTTTAAAGATTATTTGTCCAGTGTATTATTAAATTCTTCCCAAATTCTATTAATTATAAATGGATCTAATTTATATAAACCAAAGGAAATATTCATATTATTTTCAAAACTGCTTTTTATGAAACAAGATTCAATTATATTCCTGTCGACCATTTGGATGGTTAAAATCTCTTACATGAATAAATAGAGCATTGGAATCCTGTCCAGTTCTAATGCTATATTTATGTTGTTTTAATCTTAGTTCGAGATTTTTACCAGTTTGACCGTAATAAACTTTATCGCAAATTTTACAAGTTTATTACGGTCAAACTGGTAAAAATCTCGAACTAAGATTAAAACAACATAAATATAGCATTAGAACTGGACAAGATTCCAATGCTCTATTTATTCATGTAAGAGATTTTAACCATCCAATTGATTTTCAAAAAGTTGAGAAAGTAGTATCAAGCAAGTCCATGGTCGACAGGAATATAATTGAATCTTGTTTCATAAAAAGCAGTTTTGAAAATAATATGAAGATTTCCTTTGGTTTATATAAATTAGATCCATTTATAATTAATAGAATTTGGGAAGAATTTAATAATACACTGGACAAATAATCTTTAAAATTTCTTATTTCTTGGGTAGAATAGTTTGTGGGGTGAGTTGTGCCAAGGACCTATCCAAGTTGGGTCGGCGCGCGTCAGGTGTTTAAACCGTTGTGGGATCTGATAGTGAGGTGCCGGCCAGACCCCTTATATAGCTTCCTTGGATGCTTTACTTTCATAGTTCCTTGATAATGTGAGTAGTCACGAAAGCGCTTGGAATTTCTCTATTCTTTCAGAGTGGTTGTTTTGCATATTCTGAAATCACCTGTTTACTGTGATCTTATTGCATATATATATATATATATATATATATATTATATATATATATATATATATATATATATATATATATATATATATATATATATATGTCGTGCCGAGTAGGCAGAACTTGCGATCTTGGCTTAAATAGCAACGCTCATCTTGCCATATAGGACAAGCGAAAATTTGTGTATGCAATAATTTCGCCAAAATGATTCTGAACCTAACGAAAAAAATATATTTCACTGTGTTTGTTTAGTATTAAATATATATATATATATATATATATATATATATATATATATATATATATATATATATATATATATATATATATATATATATATTTTATATATATATATATATATATATATATATATATATGTCGTGCCGAATAGGCAGAACTTGCGATCTTGGCTTAAATAGCAACGCTCATCTTGCCATATAGGACAAGCGAAAATTTGTGTATGCAATAATTTCGCCAAAATGATTCTGAACCTAACGAAAAAAATATATTTCACTGTGTTTGTTTAGTATTAAATTATTATAAACAAATCTATAATATATTTAGTTGGGTTAAGCTAAAATAAATTGTTCTTGTTATAATAAGGTTAGGTAAGTTTTCTAAGATTCTTTGGGAGCAAAATTAAAAATTTTTACATTAACATTAATGAAAAAAATATATCTTTAAACGTATAAGAGAAAATTTTAGAAAGGACTTAATTTTAAATGAGTTCTTCCTAATTGACCAGTTTTACATATTCGGCACGACATATATATATATATATATATATATATATATATATTATATATATATATATATATATATATATATATCAATGCAGAAACAAACGGGTACATACAAAGAAAGATCGCAGTCAGCAGGATTCGAAACTACTACCGAGGATGGTCAAGATTCTCAGGCAGCGCTCTAGTCCACTCGTGTGGCCGAGTGGACTAGAGCGCTGCCTGAGAATCTTGACCATCCTCGGTAGTAGTTTCGAATCCTGCCGATTGCGATCTATATATATATATATATATATATATATATATATATATATATATATATATATATATATATATATATATATATATATATGGGATCAGGCAACCCTCCCAGTGCGACTGGGAGGTATAGGGGTGCGTAAAGCAACGCATGTTGCTTTACCTGCTTTTCTGTCTTCGTGTTTGGCTTCCAGTGCATTAGTCAAGAACGCTTGAGAGACTTGGTAGGAGCTCAAGACCCCAGGTTTACTGAAGCAGCGATTCGGTGGGACACCTTTACAGACTCCTCCAGTAGACCAGCTCCTCCCAAACAGCACAAACAGTCCCACTGGGACAAACCGATCATGAAAAAAATCGCCAACACAATGCTCTCCAATGCTTCAGGAAAGAACAAAACTCGTCTCCTGGCAGTGAAGGCACCACACTCAGATTTCCTGTTAGCTGTTCCCAATTCCTCCCTGGGCACTCGTCTCGACCCACAGGCCATTCGGATTGGTGTTGCTCTTCGCCTAGCCGCCCCCATCCTCACCGAACATAGGTGTATTTGCGGCAGGGCGACAGCTGATCAATTCGGACTTTATGGTCTCGTGTGCCACACAGCAGAAGGGAAGTATGCCAGACATGAGGAGATCAGTGACATAATAAAGAGAGGCCTCGCCACAGCCCGTTGCCCAGCTCAACGGGAACCCCAAGTACAGAGGTCTGATGGAAGTCAAAAGCGTCCTGATGGAACCACTATGCTACCCTGGAAGGATGGAAAGCAGATTGCCTGGGACTACACCTGTGCTGCCACATTGGCAGACACCTACTTGCCATACTCTGTAGTGGAAGGGGGTGGAGCTGCCAGCCACAGGGAGACCCAGAAGATCCGAAAATATGAAGACCTTATCCCTTGCTATAACTTCATCCCAATAGGGTCGGAGAAACTTGGAGCATGGGGCAAGTGTGCTCTAAAGTTCCTCAAAGAGCTGGGTGAAAAGCTCATCATAGAAACCAAGGACCACAGGGCGACAAGCTTCCTCTTTCAGAGACTCAGTGTTGCGATCCAGAGAGGAAATGCCTGCAGCATTCTGGGCACGCGGCCCACCGCAGGGGAGCTGGACGAAGTATTCGAGATGTAGCTCTGAGTTACCTATGTTGTTTTACTTTCTGTTGTATTTTTGTGAATGTTTCGCCAATGTATTTTGCCTTATATATATATATATATATATATATATATATATATATATATATATATATATATATATATATATATATATATATATATATATATTATATATATATATATATATATATATATATATATATTCCTTGCAGAGTTTCGTAAATTTAAAACCTGTCTGGTTTGAACCTATTTGGTTTAAACTCACTTGGCTTAAACCCACTTGGATTAAACCATGGTTCCATCCGAACAACTTGTTTATCACTATTCAGTTTTGATGTTAATAGTTTTTTATTGATTTTTATAACTGGATGGTTTTAATGAAAATAAAAATACTGTCACACTTAAATTTTAAATATAAATTTGAAGCTATGACCAAGTATATTTATATACTACATTGTAATATTCAAATATCGCGAACCAAGCGATACAAGATGCACAACGACCACGGGGGGGGGGGGTTAGAATGATAGCTCTAGGCTTTTCGTGTCGCGATCCACGCATGAATCAGGTGCTTGCAAAACTGCAGTTTCACTCCAGTGAACGCGGTCCTGTGGTTGTTTTCCATACTTTGTAATACACTGTATTTCAGAAATATTCTCTTGTATTTTTTAAGTGTGGTCAATCACACTTTTTATTCACTTTTATTTCACTTAATGTAGCATTTATGTGTTGTTTCAGGAGAGAAACCAGGCCCGGTGGCCTGGTGGCTAAAGCTCCCGCTTCACACACGGAGGGCCCGGGTTCGATTCCCGGCGGGTGGAAACATTCGACACGTTTCCTTACACCTGTTGTCCTGTTCACCTAGCAGCAAATAGGTACCTGGGTGTTAGTCGACTGGTGTGGGTCGCATCCTGGGGACAAGATTAAGGACCTCAATGGAAATAAGTTAGACAGTCCTCGATGACGCCCTGACTTTCTTGGGTTATCCTGGGTGGCTAACCCTCCGGGGTTAAAAATCCGAACGAAATCTTATCTTATCTTATCTTATCTAGTAGTAATAATAAGACTTGACAACCTAAGAGAAGTAATTGATAAATCATGTTTAATGTAATGTTTATGCAAATATCACATAAGATAGTTATGAAAGAATACTAAAAACTCTTAAACTTTGTAAAATCAACTTATTAACTTTGAAATCAGGAGGAAAAAAATAGGTTTTTTGTTTATTTTTAAACAACCAAAGATTTTTGCATCCCTGTTATATTTAGGTAGAAAGTGAGAAAGATGCTCCATAACTTCTGTCTGAGTAGGCGCAAAATTTGAAATTTATGAAAATGGTTACAAAATTTGGAATCATTAGAATCGGATCAGTTACCGGAGAATGTCTTTTTCTGATCGGTTTCAAGCTTTTACCACGGGGGGGGGGGCTTTATTAAAACTAAACTTGTCACTCTTTCTGAGTTATATCAGTTTCATGTTGCTAGTTTTATTACGTAGTGTTTCCCATGTAAAACTGAAGAATACCTCTTATTGGTTTAAACTCTTAAATAGTGGTACGTCATAAATGGAAGTTTTTTGTATAAATTTTGGGTGATGTGGGTGGCATTTTTGCCAATTTTTTGCCAGTTTTATAAAAGTGGATATTTCTCTTTTTAAATTCAAATAAAATATTTTTTTCTTAAACGTTAGTAAAAAAATTTAATTGGGATGTAAAATAAACGAAAACTTGAAAAAATATAGAAATTAGCGTTTTTATGGAGTTGTTAACATTAAAGAAGGATAATGTTCCTCCATCCTGCAACATTCTCACCAATATTTTCGTTTGCGTTCTCACAAATTTTCGTTTATTACTCAAGAATGCATTATTCAATCATCATAAAATTTTCTACGCTTGTGTAATGTATTTTGAGCAAGATTTATGAGAAAATTTAAATGCGTGGGTTCCCGATGCACAATGTTCCATGGGTCATTCCCCCCCCCACCCCCACCCACCCCAAAAAAATCTGTGTGGTAACTGAAGATAGGCTCTTCTTATCGACTTCAAGATTTCAACACTCGCACGGCCTACTTAGAAAAATGTTGGTAATGTAGTATGTAGATGCCATTTTGTCATTTATAATCTCGAAATAGTATTGCATTATTATACATAATTGCACGCGAGTGCCTTAATTGCTGATGAGGGGTTCTTGATCTCAGGAACTGGAGTTTTCCCTGGCTTGGATCATATTTGAATATCTCCCATTCTACAGACGCTATGTGACTCCTACGGGTTTAGCACTTTTTCTCTAATAAAAATATAACAATTGTGAACGGCATCAATCTTTAAAGGCTGACGCGTCCTATAAAATGGGTGGATCACTTCAGGGGTTTTCGTTGAGTCGGGACAAATTTTGTTGTATTCTGGGCAATAACTGGAAAAATTATCTTCTGATTATCTTTAAACGTTAAGTACGTTCACCTCTGTAAGTTATCATCTGCCAATTTTAGTAATCAAATTGGTTTGGTGAAATAATTGGAGAAAGTCTCTCCTGATCAGAAATAAATCACAGCTTTTGACTTTGTTTGATTATCATAGGTTAAATAAACGTAATTTTTTTTTAAGTCACTATGACATCTGTGTTCAAGCAAGAGGATTGTTAACAAACTGAAGTCATGTACACTAAGCTTGCATGGCATTGTACTTATTTCTTAAAATATGGTAAATCGTAGAAAAAAGTGTGCATTGATTTTGGCCTCCGTAGGTTCCAGTTTGTTTTTTGGAAAAAAAAATGAAAAATTATAATATTGCTTTTCGTGAGATTATTTCTGTGTTGCATCAGATTAGTTTGAAACCTTCCAACCTGATAGCTTGATAATGCCATTTCTGACCTGCTTCAAGCTTATTGGGCTGGTGTATTTGAGAATATTGGTCTCTTTTTAATGGTCTGAATTAGGTCTGGTCTGTGTATGTCCTGATTTAATTTTTTTAAGCAATTTGCTATTAGTTTCCATATTAATATTTAACTGTATCATCAGCTCATGCCGCACTCTGCACCATTCCAATCGCATGCTTTGAATCACAGGGAATTACGGTTACGGTATATTGGGATGCATTTCTCGGAACGTGTATCCATCAAAATATATTTAGTGTTAACTATTTTTGGATATAAATTATTATTTTTTTGCATCGTGTTTGACGCTCTCTACAGGTGATGGGAATACCAAACAGCATCATAGAGGCAGGCTTGACCAATTTCAATGCAGTGTTGGTGGGAACGGTGATTCCAGCCCTGTACCCTGTGTTCTTCCACCAGCCCCTCTCGTTACCCGTCTGGGGCTACATGATAGTATCGTCAGTATTCAGGTGAGTGTAGTCCCCGTCCTTCCTACACTCAGAAGACCCTCTTGCTACTGTTATCACTGGTAATCTCTATGGCCTCTACCACCATTATTACTAATTTAACCTGCCATTACCATAACCAGTGGTAGTCCTTCACCACCATTACTCTACAACTATTGCTAGTCTTTACCATCATTCCACCACTATTAGTAACTACTCTCACCACCATCACACTACTACTACTCCTTTCACCACCATCACACTCGTACATTGGACTGCGTGCGGCCAGCAGTAATAGCCTGGTTGATCAGGCCCTGATCCACCGAAAAGCCTGGTCAAGGACTAGGCCGCGGGGCCGTTGTCCCCGGAACACCCCCTTCCCCAGATAGGTCGGTACTACTATTAGTAACTATTGTCACCACCACTACTACTACTGTTAGTACTACTCTCACCACCACCTCGTCTCGAGACACCACTCCACGCTCTGTATGACCCACATTGGTTTAGCGTTTCACGTAAAAAAAAAATTGTCATTGCTCTAAATTTTGATTTAGCAAGTTATTCTGTCTGCACGAAAGTCATCGCTTTTTCCCTTTGGTTATTATTCACACACTGAGGTCCGGAGTTCGAATCTCCGGTACGGCTGGAAAACATTAGGACGTGTTTCCATAAGACACCTGCTGTCCTTGTTCACCCATCAGTATAAAATGGGTACCTCGATGTTAGTCGACTGGTATGGGTCGCATCATAATAGAGGTACAAATATGTATGCACAGGGCTCCTGACCAGCAAACTGTGATCATTCATGAAGGTCTCTTCACAAAATTCAATTTCAATAACAAACATACAATGGGATCAAGTCAACCATGTCCTAAATGAAACAGGCTGGGAAAATCTTCTAAACAACATGGATCCGAACATTTGCCTAGAAAAAAATTAATTCTGTGGTTCTTGAGATCTGCTCAAGACACATTCCATTAAGAAGAAGAAAGAGAAGATGTAAACTAGAAAGAGAGAGAGACGCTCCCTATACAGACGAAGGCGAAGAGTCACACAGCTGCTGATTGGGGTCAATATATCTGAAATACGAAGGGAGGCACTGGCTAATGAAATTGCGAATATCGAACTTAAGCTGAATGAATCAAACAGGAGACAAGAATCTCAGGAAGAACTAAAAGCCATAAAAGAAATTGAAAAAAAAATACTTCTTCTCTTATGCCAAATCTAAGGGAAAAACAACATCCAGTATTGGGCCCCTGCTTAGGCGGGAGGGGACATACACAGCTGACAGCCAAGAAATGAGTGAGATATTAAAGTCCCAATACGACTCAGTATTCAGCGAGGCGATGCCCAGACTAAGGGTCGACAATCCAAATGAATTCTTTATGAACGAAACCCAAAATCTGAAAAGGCAATTAATGACATGCCCATGCACTCTGCCCCAGGCCCAGACTCGTGGAACTCTGTGTTCATCAAGAAATGTAAGAAGGCCCTATCGCGTGTCTTCAGCATTCTATGGAGACGGAGCATGGACACAGGGGTCATCCCACACTCACTAAAAACAACAGACATAGCCCCACTCTACAAAGGTGGCAGTAAAGCAGTTGCAAAGAACTACAGACCGATAGCACTAACATCCCATATCATAAAAATCTTTGAGACGGTTTTAAGAAGCAAGATCGCCATCCACCTAGATACCCATCAATTACAAAACCCAGGGCAACACGGGTTTAGAGCAGGTCACTCCTGCTTGTCCCAGCTCCTGGATCACTATGACAAGGTCCTGGATGCTGTAGAGGATAAACAAAATACAGGTAACATACACAGACTTTGTAAATGCTTTCAACAAGTGTGACCACGGTGTAATAGCACACGAAGTGCGTGATAAAGGAATAACAGGAAAAGTTGGTAGATGGATCTATAACTTCCTGCCAAATAGAACACAAAGAGTAATAGTAAACAAAGTCCCAGGCAGCCACGGTGAAAAGCTCAGTTCCACAAGGCACAGTACTCGCTCCCATTCTATTCCTCATCCTCATTTCTGACATACAGATGTAAGCCATAGCTCCGTGTCTTCCTTTGCGGATGACACCCGGATTGCCATGACAGTGACCTCCATCGAAGACACCGCAAGACTCCAAGCGGACATCAACCAAATTTTCAAATGGCCACTCAAAACAATGTGAAGTTCAACGAGGAGAAATTTCATCTACTCAGATATGGAAAACTTGAAAAAATTAAAAATGTGTCAGGGTATACAACAAATTCTAACCATAAAATAGATCGAAAAAGAAATGTGAAGGACATGGGAGTGCTAATGTCAGAGGATCTCGCCTTCAAAGATCACAACAATGTATCTACCTCATCCGCTAGAAAAATGATAGGATAGATAATGAGAACCTTCGAAACTAGGGACGCCAAGCCCATGATGACACTCTTCAAATCGCTTGTTCTCTCTAGGCTGGAATACTGCTGTACACTAACGGCCCCCTTCAAGGTTGGCGACATTGCAGACCTGGAGAGTGTACTAAAAACTTTGACAGAACTCATAAGTACGATAAGGCACCTAAATTACCGAGAACGGTTGAAGGTCCTTGATCTGTATTCCCTGGAATACAGGCGAGAGAGATACATGATAATATACACTTGGAAGGTCTTGGAGGGATTGGTACCAAACCTGCACACGAAAATCACTCCCTATGAAAGCAGAAGACTCGGCAGGCGATGCAACATTCCCCCGATGAAAAGCAGGGATGCCACGAGTACATGAGAGAGAACACAGTGTCAGGGGCCCAAGACTGTTCAACTGCTTCTCAGCATACATAAGGGGGATTACCAATAGACCCCTGGCTGTTTTCAAGAAGGCACTGGACAGGCACCTAAAGTCAGTACCTGATCAACCCAACCAGGCTGTCGTTCGTACGTCAGTTTGCGCGAGGCCGGCAGTAACAGCCTGGTTGATCAGACACTGATCCACCACGAGGCCTGGTCTCAGACCGCTCCAGGTAAACTCCAGGTAATAACAAGCGGCTTTCTATATTGTTGTCAGCTAGGCAACAATATTACTATTATTATTATTATTATTATTATTATTATTATTATTATTATTATTATTATTATTATTATTACAAGGTTAGGTCGAGTTGGTGCAAATTTGAAATTTTATTGGAAATATTAAAACACTGAGAATTGTTGGGTAAGTTACTAGAGAATGATTTTTCTGGTCGGCTTTAAACTTTCACCATTGGTGGACTTTATTGAAACAAAGTTTATCACAATCGTTAAGTCGTTTAAATTTCAGTTTGCAAAGTTTATTAAGTAAATTGTTTTCTACGTATTACTAGAGAATGTCTCTTCTGATCTACTTTAAGTCCTCAACACTGTTGTGTTTTAACTCATAATTAAGGTTCATGTGTAACGGGAACCTTTATTGCTAAATGTTTTACCTAGACAGTAGGATCTACTTCAGTTTCCCCTGCTGTGTAGGTGAGACGTTTCACCTAGACAGTAGAATCTACTTCAGTTTCCCCTGCTGTGTAGGTGAGAAATTTCACCTGGACAGTAGGATCTACTTCAGTTTCTCCTGCTGTGTAGGTGAGAAGTTTCACCTAGACAGTAGGATCTGCTTCAGTTTCTCCTGCTGTGTAGGTGAGAAGTTTCACCTAGACAGTAGGATCTACTTCAGTTTCTCCTGCTGTGTAGGTGAGAAGTTTCACCTAGACAGTAAGATCTACTTCAGTTTCTCATGCTGTGTAGGTGAGTTTCACCTAGACAGTAGGATCTACTTCAGATTATCCTGCTGTGTAGGTGAGTTTCACCTAGACAGTAGGATCTACTTCAGTTTCCCCTGCTGTGTAGGTGAGAAGTTTCAGAACAATGATACCTAACGGTTGCACCCGTGTTATCAACTTGTCAGTGTTGAATACCATTATCACATTCACTGTATCTTAACTGGAAATGTATTATATTAATTTTTAGTTTTGTGGGGGCCCATGCAGGGCTTTGCAAATTTTTTAAAATAAATTTTAATTTAAAAAAAAAGACAAAATATTTTTTCTTACGGGATTGTAGAGAATTTTAAATAGAATGTAAATGTGAAAAATTAAAAACCAAAAAATAAGCGTTTTCATAACATGAAAAAAACATAAAAAAGGAGGAACACTGCAGCAGGCCCGTTGGCTCATACCAGGCAGGTCCCCCACTGTCCATCCCACCAAGAAAACTTTTGCCCAACCCAACCTTCAATGCCACCCAAGAAACAAGCTCTGATAACTCTATACACTCTCATATGCAAGTCCCACTCAAATCCAACCCCTCTCACTCATGTATCCATCCAACCCAAACCTGAAACTACCCAAGGTTTCAGCCTCAACAACCCCACCAGGCAGACTGTTCCACTCATCAACCACCCCATCTCCAAACCTTCCTGTATCCCTTCCAAATCCAAACTTGTCCAATTTGAATCCACCACTGCGGGCCTTCTCTTGGAGAGACATCCCCACGACCCCATTTATATCCCCTCCATTAACACCCATTCTCCACCCATACACCTCGATCATGTGTCCCCTCATTCTCCGTCTAACAAATGAATGCAATTTAAGGGTCTTCAATCCCTATTCACAAGGAAGATTTCCAATGCTATGCACCAACTTAGTCATTCTACGCTGAATGTTTTCTGCTTGAAGGACAGGAGTAGGAGACAGAGGGTTTGCTTTCCTGGGGCTAGGATGGAGGATATTGTTAGCCGTCTGGATGACATTATGAGAGGTAATGGGAGCATTCCTATTATCTGTCTCAGTGCTGGAGGCAATGATGTTGGCAGATGTAGGAGTGAGGACCCGATTAGCAGGTACAGGTCAGCAATAGAGATAATTAGGAGGAAGGGTGGGAACCCTGTCATATGTGGCATTTTGCCAAGGAGAGGAGTTGGAAACGAATGGTTGTCTAGGGGAATTGGTGTCAATTGCTGGCTGGACAAATACTGTAAGGAAAATGCAGTAACATTCATTGACAACTGGGACTTCTTCTATGGCAGAAATGACATGTGTGCCAGGGATGGGGTTCACTTATATAGGTCTAGGGTGGGGGCACTGGCAACTGCAGTGGAGGGAGCTGTTAGGGCTTTAAACTAGGAATAGTTAGTGGTATGTGTTTTGGCGGGAAAACAGTGAAGTCCCAGTGTAATAATATGAGTACTAGGAGAACTAGTAATGGGCAAAATGAGGTGGATATTGGAAAGCCAGCGGCACTAGGTGACAAGGACAGTAATAGGTTTAGTGGAAAAACAGAAATGAGCAGGAAGGGTAAAGAAAAAGGAGGGTCTTTAAATATACATTATGTTAATTCCCGTAGTGCTAGGAATAAGATGGACGAGTTGAGATTAGTTGCTAGTGCAGGTAACATTGATGTATTTCCCATAACTGAGACGTGGTTTGATTGAGAAAGTCGAGATATGCCTGCAGAATGTCACATTCAGGGTTTTAAATTGTTTCAAGTAGATAGAAGTATCGGGAAGGGGGGCTGGGGTGGCACTGTATGTCCGAGATCGCTTGAACTGTTGCATAAAAACCGGTATTAAGTCTGAAGTAACACATACAGAGTGTGTTTAGATAGAATTTTCAGAGGGGCATGAAATATTGATTTTAGGTGTGATATACCGTCCCCCAAACTTAGATAGGGACCAAGGGAAACTACTGTGGGAGGAAATTGTTAAGGCCACAAGACACGGTAACGTAGTAATTCTAGAAGACTTTAACTTTAGTCATATTGATTAGAATTTCTTGACTGGGAATTTAGAATCAAACGACTTCTTAGAAGTAGTTCAGGATTGTTTTTTAAGGCAGTTTGTGACAAGGGGAAATAACCTGCTTGACTTGGTTTTGGCAAACAAGGAAACTCTTGTTAATAATTTAGAAGTTACAGAGGAACTCGGCACAAGCGATCACAAATAGCGATCTTTAGTTTAAATAGTGAAGACTTTCCTGTTTTCCAAAACATTCTCAGCAATTTTTCGTTTGTTTTTTCTCAATTTTTTAACGACGGTGTAATGTATCTTGGACAAGATTCATGGGACTATTGCAGGCGTGAGTGCCACGTGCGCAATGTTGCGTGGGTGCCACGTGCGTAATGTTGCACGAGTGTCACGTGCGCAACGTTACACGAGTGTCACGTGCGCAATGTTGCACGAGTGCCACGTGCGCAATGTTGCACGAGTGCCACGTGCGCAATGTTGCACGAGAGCCACGTGCGCAATGTTGCACGAGTGCCACGTGCGCAATGTTGCATAGTCCATTCCAAAATTTTGTTTCCTTGTGATAAGTGGAGACAGACTCCTATGATTGGCAGTAACTGGAAAATGCATCTTCTGGTCAGCTTCAAACTTTAAGTGCTGATATGTTTTTTCTCAAAGGAGACGAAATCTTCACGTTGGGTTGAGTAAGTTATAATGTGTCAGTTTTATTAAACAAATTAGTTCATGTGAAATAATTAGAGAATCTCTCTTCTCGGTTATCCTAGATTAAGTCAATATCGTGACGTGCCTGTAATATCTGTGTGCCCCCGTAAGACCACTGTTAGAAAATGTATATTATGCTCACTAAGATATTTAAAATTTACTTACGTACATTCTTAAAAACTGGTCAGTCTTAGAGAAAAGCCTGAAATGATTTTTGGACAGTGTAGGTCCCAATTTGATTCTTTGAAAGAAATTGGAAAAATTTAAATTCTGCTTTTAGTGTGATAATTACTGAGTGTCTCATCCCTTACTTACTGATAACTTATTATTGAACTTCTAAGTGGCTTCAAGCCTAGTGTGCTTGTGTATTATTGATTAGTCCCTTCCGTCTCTTTGAAAGGTTTGAATTAGATTTTTGCTGAATTTAGACTGAATTATCGACTTATTCCACATGCACTGAGACACAGGGACTCAGGTTGTGGAATGAGGGACACCGAAATACTGTACATCTAGCTTCGTAATTTTCGTTTTCCATAAGTGTGTGAAATGGTAATTCCCCAGTAAAAGTAGCTCCAGCTCTGCAGGAAAGAGGGCAAGAAATACCGACATGTGTGAAGTATAAGACGTTTAGTACCAAGATATATATTTAGGAAACGTTTCGACTGGGGAAGCTTTTCCTCCAGTACAGAATTGAGAATAAGCAGGATATATAAATACCTTCTTTTGTTCCTTGTGTACATTGTGCAAACTATTAACTCTCATATACACTAAAATCATTCCAGTGTTCAGGACGGACAACTAACTCATCAAGTTTCTCAGATCAGGAGTTTGTAGTCGCTGGCAAACGATTATCCATATCAGCCTTATTTACCAGTCCTCTGTGTTGGGAAGATCGCTTGGAGCGTCGTTTGTTTGACTTGATGAATAAGTGATTTTTAATCAAACCTCAAAAATTGCTTCTGACTATTATTTCTCCACCATTATCGAATACGAGAAAACTGTCCTCTGGTTACTAACTATTGATGACACCAGACTCGCAAGAATTCACAAACAATACTACCAGTCATTATTTAATCATATAGTTTATCAAAAATCAGAATACAGATTATGTTTTCAGCGCTTCCTACAAAGCCCAGAGAACATTACTGCTGTATCCTCTCTGAAAGCCCACCTATTAATTTTAAATTATACTGGCCTTTTACACGAAAAAAAAAAAATGCTGCACAGCTTTGAATTCCTAATTTTGCCTGTGTACTCACCCCTCAAATTTTTATTCAGTCCTGAATATTAATATATTACTAACAGTATGTTAAGTACAAGGAGATATTAGCAACAAACATTTATAACGGTTACATCTGTTCTCCACGGCAAAGACAGAACTCTGGGTCCATAAAGGGAATATAGTGAAGTGTAGGAAGCACACACACACACACACACTGCAGTAGGTCTACTGGCCCAAGCTAATAGTAACATTAGAAGTGGCATGTGTAGTCAGGGGACGGCGAACTTTATCGTTTTAAGATAAATTCGTGCTAATTTTGCAAAGATAAAGAAACCGCATTTGTTTTGTTTGCACTGGCTTGATAGAGCTCCTGGAGAGAGTAAAAGTAACCATAATAAATGTCACTTTAGTAGTTCCTGTTTTACCTCCTGTTGTCAGCCTTACCATTCCTCTTCTCATTTACCATGCAGGACTGAATACCTTCCCCACTGTTTTATCGTTCCTTATGACCAAAATAATAATTATTATGATGTGTTATAAGAAGAATACTGATGTCTGATGGATTTCCTCGTGTTCAGTGTGTGTGTGCTTGGTGGCTTGGGCAGGATCCTGGACGCCCACACACTCCCGGCCTTCACCCTTCCCTTTAACCTGGTCACCTCCATGGCCTTCGTCAGTATGCGGGAGGCGGGTTATGAAATCGAGCCTCTCAACGTTAACCAAACCCATGAGTACCCCGTGGATCCAACATGGAACCAGGTGGGGTATATATATCTCTCATTAGTTCCTATAAATATTTGCAATTTAGAGTTTAAGTATATTCTCTGTTGCTATAAATTAAATTTTAGACAAGATTCGCTCACCATCATGGATCATGTTTACCGGTCGAGCCTTCTCCGAGTCTAAGTAATTATGGACTTCCTTTACAAGATATCTGTGATAATTATCTAAGCAATTTATGTTAGTTTTAATGACCATGAAATTATTGACCTATATTACGCTCTTAAATCTTGTAATAATCTCCTGCATCACCCAGAAAAAAAAAGACAGTTCAAGGAAATTTAAAATTCGACAATGCTGGAAACTGAAAGTAGGACCAAACTCAGTAAACATTAAAAAAAAAAATCAACCTAGCAATCATTAAATGTTATAGGCATCTCAAACAGTAGTCTACAGTAGTCTACAGGGAAACTCTACCATAACAACAGCTGATACTATATGGTCATTCCTTTTGCCTTTTTGTGAACGTTTTTTTGGTACATTTCCCTGATCCATTGACAACAAATTTCTTCTTCAGGCCAAACTCTTATCTCTTAGTTTCTCTCACTCTTTCCTCTATATGCCTGGTTTAACCTCTGGTAATACTGGCTTAACCTCTGGTAGTACTGGTTTAACCTCTGGTAGTACTGGTTAAACCTCTGGTAGTACTGGTTTAACTTCTAGTAGTACTGGTTAAACCTCTGGTAGCACTGGTTTAACCTCTGGTAGTACTGGTTAAACCTCTGGTAGTACTGGTTTAACCTCTAGTAGTACTGGTTAAACCTCTGGTAGCACTGGTTTAACCTCTGGTAGTACTGGCTTAACCTCTGGTAGTACTGGTTTAACCTCTGGTAGTACTGGTTAAACCTCTGGTAGTACTGGTTTAACTTCTAGTAGTACTGGTTAAACCTCTGGTAGCACTGGTTTTAACCTCTGGTAGACTGGTTTAACCTCTGATAGTACTGTTTAACTCTGGTAGATACTGTTCAACCTCTAGTAGTACTGGTTTAAACCTCTGTAGTACTGGTTTAATCTCTGTTGTACTGGTTTAATCCTCTGGTAGTACTGGTTTAACCTCTAGTAGTACTGGTTTAACCTCTTCTAGTACTGGTTTAACCTCTGATAGTACTGGTTTAACCTTTTGTAGTACTGGTTTAACCTCTGGTAGTACTGGTTTAACCTCTGGTAGTACTGGTTTAACCTCTGATAGTACTGGTTTAACCTCTGGTAGTACTGATTTAACCTCTGGTAGTACTGATTTAACCTCTGGTAGTACTGGTTTAACCTCTGGTAGTACTGGTTTAACCTCTGGTAGTACTGGTTTAACCTCTGGTAGTACTGGTTTAACCTCTGGTAGTACTGGTTTAACCTCTGTTAGTACTGGTTTAAATTCTGGTAGTACTGGTTTAAATTTGTAGTACTGGTTTAACCTCCGGTAGTACTGGTTTGACCTCTGTTAGCACTGGTTTAACCTCTGGTAGTACTGGTTTAACCTCTGGAATTACTGGTTAAACTTCTGGTAGTACTGGTTTAACCTCTAGTAGTACTGATTTAACCTCTGATAGTACTGGTTTAACCTCTGGTTGTACTGGTTTAACCTCTTGTAGAACTGGTTTAACCTCTGGTAGTACTGGTTCAACCTTTTGTAGTACTGGTTTAACCTTTGGTAGTACTGGTTTAACCTCTGGTAGTACTGGTTTAACCTCTGGCAGTACTGGTTTAACCTCTGGAAGAACTGGTTTAACCTCTTGTAGTACTGATTTAACCTCTGGTAGTACTGATTTAACCTCTGGTAGTACTGGTTTAACCTCTGGTAGTACTGGTTTAACCTCTGGTATTACTGGTTTAACCTCTGGTAGTACTGGTTTAACCTCTGTTAGTACTGGTTTAACCTCTGGTAGTACTGGTTTAATCTCTGGTAGTACTGGTTTAACCTCTGATAGTACTGGTTTGACCTCTGTTAGTACTGGTTTAACCTCTGGTAGTCCTGGTTTAACCTCTGGTAGTGTTGATTTAAGCGCTGGTAGTACTGGTTTAATCTCTGGTAGTACTGGTTTAATCTCTGGTCGTACTAGTTTAACTTCTGGTAGTATTTGTTTAACTTCTGGTAGTACTGGTTAACCTATAGTAGTCCTGGTTTAACCTCTGGTAGCACTGGTTTAACCTCTGGTAGTACTGGGTTAACCTCTGGTAGTACTGGTTTAACCTCTGTAAGTACTGTTTTAACCTCTGCTAGTAGTGGTATAACCTCTGGTAGTACTGATTTAACCTCTGGTAGTACTGATTTAACCTCTGGTAGTACTGATTTAACCTCTGGTAGTCCTGGTTTAACCTCTGTTAGTGTTGGTTTAACCTCTGGTAGTCCTGGTTTAACCTCTGGTAGTTTTGGTTTAACCGCTGGTAGTACTGGTTTAATCTCTGGTAGTACTGGTATAATCTCTGGTAGTACTGATTTAACCTCTGGTAGTCCTGGTTTAACCTCTGTTAGTACTTGTTTAACCTCTGGTAGTCCTGGTTTAACCTCTGGTAGTGTTGGTTTAACCGCTAGTAGTACTGGTTTAATCTCTGGTAGTACCGGTTTAATCTCTGGTAGTACTAATTTAACTTCTGGTAGTACTGGTTTAACCTCTGGTAGTACTGATTAACCTCTGATAGTACTGGTTTAACCTCTGGTAGTCCTGGTTTAACCTCTGATAGTACTGGTTTAACTTCTGGTAGTCCTGGTTTAACCTCTGGTAGTACTGGTTTAATCTATGGTAGTACCGGCTTAATCTCTGGTAGTACTGGTTCAATCTCTGGTAGTACTAGTTTAACTTCTGATAGTACTGGTTTAACCTCTGGTAGTACTGGTTTAACCTCGATAGTACTGGTTTAATCTCTGGTAGTACTGGTTTAACTTCTGGTAGTACTGGTTTAACCTCTGGTAGTACTGATTTAACCTTTGGTGGTCCTGGTTTAACCTCTGGTAGTACTGGTTTAACCTCTGGTAGTACTAGTTTAACCTCTGAGAGTACTAGGTTTAACCTCTGTTAGTCCTGGTTTAACCTCTGGTAGTACTGGTTTAACATCTGGTAGTACTGCTTTAACCACAGGTAGCACTGGTTTAACCTCTGGTAGTACTGGTTTAGCCTCTGGTAGTACTGGTTTTACCTCTGGTAGTACTGGTTTAATCTCTGGTAGTACTAGTTTAACTTCTGGTCGTACTGGTTTAACCTCTGGTAGTACTGCTTTAGCCTCTTTTAGTCCTGGTTTAACCTCTGGTAGTACTGGTTTAACCTCTGGTAGTACTGGTTTAACCTCTGGTAGTACTGGTTTAACCTCTGGTAGTACTGGTTTAACATCTGGTAGTACTAGTTTAATCTCTGGTAGTACTGGTTTAATCTCTGGTAGTACTGGTTTAACCTCTGGTAGTACTTGTTTAACCTCTGGTAGTGCTGGTTTAACCTCTGGTAGTACTTGTTTAACCTCTGGTAGTGCTGGTTTAACCTCTGGTAGTACTGGTTTAACCTTTGGTAGTACTGGTTTAACCTCTGGTAGTACTGATTTAACCTCTGGTAGTACTGATTTAACCTCTGGTAGTCCTGGTTTAACCTCTGATAGTACTGGTTTAACCTCCGGTAGTACTGGTTTAATCTCTGGTGGTACTGGTTTAACCTCTGGTTGTGATGTAGTTCAGCTGGGCTTGTGAGGTCTCTGGGGAGACCTAATTTAACCAATTATATGGTCACACCTTGCCTTGGCAAACGTCTGTCAGCCACGCCCACGTCTGAGGTCTTTTGTTCTTGACGGCGTCAGACCTAGGCCTCAGGTCGTACACGTGGTTGTGGAGGGTGCTCTCGGGACAATATAAGCCCAAGGAACAGCTGTGCAGAGAGATTCTTACGGAGCTCTGGCCTGGGTGCAGAGCTCCTGAGCTGAGACTTCGAGCGGAGCTGCTGCTGGGGTGCAGGGCTCGGGAGAAGGCTGCTGAAGTCTCTGGAGGAGACTGTTGGAGGCACTGGGCAGAGTACTGGCTTGGCGCAGTACTCGTGCTGTGTAGGTCTTGGGGACCTGTGGCTTAGTTCCTGTGATGAACTGCCCTCTGAACTATATTGTAAGTTATATTCATTTTCGTCAAGTTGATTGTATTCCCTGTCTCACTGCTTATGTGTACCACCCCATTTATATAAACCCCAATGATGTACTCCTGTTCCCAAATATATTATTGTACAAGGACTTAATAATAAACTGTGTTTGAGTAGAATAGTAATATTCACTGTCCCCATTATTTTCTCCATTTATTTATGTTTAGTTAAAGTAGTGATAGGGTGAGTAGTGTAGTGTGGTGGGTAGAGTAATGAGAGGTGAGGGTGTAGTCACCAGTGACCTCACATTACCTACCAACCTCCGCCCTCATCCCTCCTAGCCAATCCCCTACCTACTCCCTGCCAACTAACTCCCTCCTCTTACCCCCATATTCCCCTAATTATTACCCCCCTACATGACATGGTGTCTAAGCGGTGGTGGTTCTTATTATTTTTATAGTAGGAACCAGTCCCACGTGCCTTAATGTTGACTGCTCGGTTATACTTATGTTATGCTACCGTTTGCTACCACTTTTTTTTTCTTGTGTGTGTAAAGTTAAAGTAAATATCAGTGTGATATTATAATCCTAGTGACCTTAACTGACCTTTTTGATGGTGGGTCTGAATAATTGTTTGGGTGTAACATTATATTTGGTGGAGTTGGTTGTGGGTTTATATAAATGGGGTGGTACACATAAGCAGTGAGACAGGGAATACAATCAACTTGACGAAAATGAATATAACTTACAATATAATTCAGAGGGCAGTTCATCACAGGAACTAAGCCACAGGTCCCAAGACCTACACAGCACGAGTACTGCGCCAAGCCAGTACTCTGCCCAATGCCTCCAACAGTCTCCTCCAGAGACTTCAGCAGCCTTCTCCCGAGCCCTGCACCCCAGCAGCAGCTCCGCTCGAAGTCTCAGCTCAGGAGCT